CGAGTAGCTGTAGGGTATTAAAAAATGGCGTTAAAAATATCAAAGATGATTTAATTTTATACTCAATATATCAAGAACAAAGTTAAATGCAATATAATGCAATTTGTAAGATAATTTGCCCCAGGATAGTCATACACGATCCTTGTTGGTCAAAGGACCTCAGAGATTTTTATTTTGATAATAAACATGTAAAATTCTGATTGATTTTGGAAATTTTAAAGACATATTTATTATGGAAACAAATATGGATGTGAGTTTTGCGACGGCCGGATTTTGTTAGGGGGGTAAAAAATTTAAACTGGATTGAACCGTGAAAATTTTTACATGTTTGTTACATATATAGTTTTATATGCAAAAATATAAATATAATGATAGTTTTTTTCATTCAATCAAATAAGATCAAAATGATATTTGCTGATTTTTCTTATTTACAGCAAAATATATATGAATAATTATATTTTTCTGTTGTTTTTTAGCATAAATAACATTTTTGGAAACACATGTCGCACCAGTATGTTTCAGAACATGTCGCACCAGTATGTTTCAGAACCACCGCGGGCGGCTTTTTCGAATTACAATGGTTCTCAACATTTTCACAATTTCTTCAAAATTTATACAGTTTTTTAAGACATTGTATTCGATGGATAATTTATACTTGTAATTGCAATTTTAAAGTAGCAATATAAATCATTAGAATTTTTTCTTTATTTCCAATATCATATCATATATTCAATCACAATGTGATATAGTTTATAATATAAAAATAATTGTATTAATATCAATTTGATAGGTGTACTATGAATATTGTTAAGTTTTGCATTTGTTCGTATTATAGTCAATAAAATGTTTTATATGAAAAAGGGGTAGAAATTATAAAGTATTTCAGATCATTTATTTTTGTACAAATTTGTAAAATAATGCATTCATATTATACAAATGGTTTGAATGTTGCAAGAAAATTAATAAAAAATTTACAAATAAGTTCATTATTGAATAGTTGCACTTTTAGCGCGCTTATATAATATAATTAACGCCTTTTTTAAATTATAATTTTGTGATAGTTTTAAGTCATTTTATTTACAGAAAATATTGTTGATTATTAATTTACGTTCAAATATTACACTTACATTAGATAAAAACGATTTAAATGTAGTAAGAGATATAATGATATTATTACTCAAATAAAGAGTATAATTGGTATAATAATAATAGACAAATTATTAACACGTTAATAATTAGACACATTATTAGACAAATTTTTAACACGTTAATCGCCATGTCAGTAGTATGTGTCCGACGCTAAGAAGTTCTACATAAGTCAATTTTTTTTAATACAATAAAATAATCAGTAAAGAGCCATATAAATCATATATTTGTGACATAAAAAATAGTGTTTTTTCAGGAATTTTGACAAAATAATTTTATTCTTTGATACATTAAGTTTCCTGGATACAATTTTAACTAAATTATCTGATATCGTAAAATTTTCTAATAAGCAATATATTTATAGTTTTCTGATAATTGTATAAAATTTGTTTTGCAAAAATTGTACAAACGATATATTCAACGAATTGTAACTACAAAATTTAATTATTTAACGATAACGATATAAACGTATATATATATATATAAACGATATTAAAATTTAACTAATTTTTGTTATGCTAGAAGTATAAAAGTTGTTGCATACGTTAAGCAATTTTACATATGTACTATTATTGTTAATATAAATTAGTACAGTAGTATAAATTCTTCATTTTTGTAAAAATTAAGAATATCGTTAAAACACCGTTCGGGGGTCATACAAAATATTTAACCCCTATTGAAAATATATAAATTTCCATTATAAATTTAAAATCATCAATTATTTTTTCCGACGGCATTTTCTATTGGTAAAATACTTGAAATTTTGCGTTAAAATATATAACAATAAATTAAGTTATTTTTATTGTTTACATCATTTTATTCCCGTGACCATGTGCGTCGTAAGAAATGTTATCACGTACAAAACGTCGGGAAGTCACTTTCGTTTTATCGCGGTTTAGAATTGTTATTTATTGTTTCGCCGATTTATTATAAGACACATTTGAAATTAATTATTATTAGTGAAAACATTAAATGCCGATGACCTATTGTGTAAGGCAAGTATTGTTATGACACTTATTTTTAGGCGATTTTGATAAGTTTATTCATTGGGTGTTTACAAACATTGGCATGTGATTTATGATATCGCAAGCGCTCGTTAAATTTGATTAACAAATGAGTAGAAGAAAAGAATCTTTATAAATATTTTTGATTTCTATTATGAATTTATATTATGTTTCTATTCGCGTCACGAGGAAACTGCCCTGGTATGTTAGTTAGTCCTCGTTTTTCAATTGAACATAATTTAACAAAGATTTCTTTCCATATCTGGTCCAAGTATCACTATACAATGGTTGCACATCACAGACACACGTGTATTCGTTATATTTTGATCACTTTTTATTGAACCTACCCTCGGTTGAGCCATGGGAGGATATCTCCCGGCGGGAGGATACTCAGCGTGCTGTGCCACTTTAAATTCTGATATAGCAACACACTATGTATATATATATTTATATATATATATAAAAAAGATATGTGTATATATAAATATATATACACTTGTCCCTTATCTACACTAATTCAATACAAAACTATTATTCACTATTTATTAATTAATATAGCACCCGGTTTAATGCACAATAATAACAACAAATAAGGAATCCTGCTAAGGTGCATAACACCCTTATCACGGATCACATGAGTGCGATTGTTTTCTAGGACGTACGCGCGCGAAAACGAAATCACAGAACTAAACGAAAATTAAACTAAAATCAAACTAAAAAAACCGAACCAATTTCACTTTGTTTTAAAGATCTTATCTCTTTTCTTTTACGATAGCACTTTTCGAAAACTCTTTTTTGTCGCATAGAGAATGCGTCGCGTAATCAGTCAGTTGTAAATAAGTCACTGTTACTATTAACAACATTGCATCTTTCGAATCGCGTCATTTTCATTTCACACGTCACACTATGAACACTCGAAAATTGAAAAGTGGCGCGTACCCGGCGAGACCCTGCGCCTTTCGCGGTCGTCTGCCAACTGTCAATCACTGGCGCTGACTGTGGGCGTCACTCGGTGCTAGCGCTCGATCGGGAGAGGGATGTTCGGCGGAGACGCCTTTGCGGGAGTCACGGCGTCGCGAGTCGGGCCCGGATCGGCGGCTACGCGCCGGCTGCCACCCGGACACGCCCCTCGCTGCGGCCATTGGAGAGACACGCCCGGACTCGCGTTAGAGCGAGAACGACAACGACAACGGCGCGGCTCTCCCTCTCGCTCTGGCGCTCTCGGCGCGCGCTGTGAGAACTGAACGAGAGTCGCGCTGTATCGCTCGTCGCACGGCATTGCCTACACGTTCCATGTTCACAACAGAACAGGCGCGATTCGCAAAAACACATCCGTAAACATATACGAGGAATAGACACCGATGCAATATCTACGACGCTACGACTCTACCTTTGTTACGTCGACAATAATTGCTTCTAACATCAAATTTTTACTGAGGTTTATGCATTACCGTTCGATGCACATTCTGACAACGATTCGATGATATATTTTATTCGTCGAGAAGGAATCATTACACAATATTGTAATTTTTTTATCATTTTATAATTATATTAATTACTCTAAGCTGTTGTGCTGATTTGACTTAATACGTGGTACATAATACTTGTCGGTACTGCAGATGGCAACCCAAACAGTTGTCCCATCTCTTTTTGATAAATTTTTGTTGAATTAATATTATAATTTCTGTAATAGGTTGACAATTTATTGATGCAACAATGCCGGTTTAGGGCTATTTCCACTTGAAAATATATTTCTATCTATCTCTTCCAAACCGTTATCACAACTTCTCGACATCAAGCTGCTCAAAGCGGAATCGAACCCAGGACCTCTGATTTAAGTTCTATCGTTCAAACCACTTGTCTAGAACTGAGTTCTTTTTGATTAGTTATTATTACAATTTCTGTAATAGGGCGAATAGTTATTGATGCAACAATGCCGGTATAGGGCTCGTTCCACTTGAAAACATATTTCTATCTATCTCTTCTAAACCGTTATCACGACTTCTCGACATCAAGCCGTTCAAAGCGGAATCGAACCCAGGACCTCTGATTCAGATCCTGTCATTCGAACCACTTGTCTACAATCAAACTTTTTTACTCCAAGTTAACACAACTATTACAAAAAACTTATAATTACTTATGATATAAATAGTGTAGGGGAGACTAGGTACGGTTCTGCCACTTTTTTTATCAGCATAATTTTGTTAATTTGAACATTTGTCTACGTGAAATTACTTAATAATAGTGTTCTTAAATATGATAGATTAGTTATAAAATCAAATCATATAAGAAAAGGGCGAGTGTCACAACTGTCCACATCCGAGAGACGGTTGTGCCAGCGTTTGGGGTCGGTGGTGACAACTATAAAAATAGGTTAAAAGCAATGGGTATAAACACCAAAATGGTTTATAACGACTGTTATTATTGTTAATAACAACAACATGTAATGATATGTAACCCAACACAACACAACATAAACAATGCTTATGAATAAAATATAACAATATATAAAATATATATTTTTTTAAACAAAGTTTCTTTTTAATGAAAAAAAAATTAAACAAGGTTAACATAAATTTCTTGTGTTTTTTTTCTTATATTGAATTTTCTTTTTCCTTTCATATTTTGTCTTAGTTAAGTTAGATTTTTTTATCTCTTCAATTTAATTTGTCACAAACGTACCCAACTTTTGAAAACAAATCATCATTATAACTGAACTAAATTATTTAACAAAAACTAATTACTGGTAAATAACTACTAATGTTCAACTTACAACAAAATAAGAAAAAAGTAGTCGATCTGTATAAAATTAACAATTATTATTTAAAGAATTCAAAAATGAAAACTTACCTTTGACTCTAAGCAATGCGGTCTGCAGATTATGATGTAAGGCATTGACTAAAAGCAATAATGGGAACTTGTTCGCACAATCATTCTTCATCTTTCTGCATTTGGACCCTATGTCAAAATCAGTACAGTTCAGCTGTTATGACGACTGTCACAACCGTACCCAGTCTTTCTAACTAGATACTAAATCATTTGTATTTATACAAATCCGTTTAGTATACGAAAGTAAATCATCATCTCTCGTGGGCTCATAAAAAATTAAAATCAGTTTTTTTTACGTGATGCCATTTGACATAATGCAAATGAAATCGTAACATAATTGACATGCACTTTACGTATCTCTTAAACATTGAAGAAGAAATCCGTAAGCCATTTTTCAGTTTCACATCATATGACAAGGTCACAATTATTCCTTCAAAATTTTATGATAACTGCAGTGGCAATTCTAAATTACATGTTCTATGTTATATTATGGCAGCATGGCGATAACATTAATCACTTCAAAATAAAAGCCACTCTGGCGTTGCACTCATAAATAACACATGCAAGAAATCAAACTAATGCTATTTTGACATTTCTACCATTTGTAGGTTATGTTTTAGCAGTTGAACGCTCAAATACGCGCCTAATCTTCTTGACAGTTTTTGACTACCAACTCATGATGCAAGAAAGTCAACATCAAGAAAATAAAATAGGTGCACCAAAAATACCAAATCTTTAAATCTTATACTCTTATTTGTATTATTTTATGTTACCATGGAAGACCAGTTACATAGTATACCAATTTTGTCCGAAAATTGGCATCTTAGTCATTTCTAAACAAAAACTTTTATTACACATTTATCAAAATTAAGTGCGATACATAAAATTCTTAATCTTTTTTATTCATTAAATAATCGACAATTTGCAAAGCAAAAAATTTATTTGACCAATTAAAACTGATTTTCAGTATAGAATTAATAGTCTTCAGTCCATTTCAAAATCTTACAAAAATTTGTTATTTTTACAGTAAATTTTGATAATGCGAAAACTACACAAATTAAGATATAATATCGATCAAGTTTGGTCCAACTTATGTAAGTATTTTTAATCTGACATGGATTATAATGTTTTTAATTAATTGTTTCAATTCAATTCAATTCTATCTATTATGATAAATTCAATATATCTATTATTGCAACTTACTGAAATCAATTCATCAGTAAATTTTTTAATTTTTATCATATTATTATATATATTCAGCAATATTTCAAATAGTTTATTTTGAACAATTCATCTAAATTAGTTAATTAAACTTTTAAATGTAGAAATATATATTTTTTAAATATTAAAATATTTCAATAATTTTACAATCTTTTTTATAATCAATTTACAAAAATTGCATAATAATTTCATTTTTTTTGTATATTTCTTATTTTTAAATAATGAAAATTAATAGTGAAGATTGGTATAATCTGTCAAAAATAAATTTTGAGTACTACGAATAAATCTCACACGTTAAATATTTTTGAATAAGTAATTTCGGGACACAAAAATCTTATCAAAATTATATAGAAAAAAATGATTAGTCTATTATCCAATGATGATAAAGCATAAAATTGCTATTTATGGGTGTTAAGTACCTTAAAAAATATATTTTTATGACTATAAATAATAAAATCATACTTCTTGATCTGTTATAAATTTGCACGTATGTTCTGGTTAGTCTTTTAATAAAATTATAAAATTTGAACATATTTTAAAAAAAAATTAAATTACAACATTAAAAAATCTTTAAAATTTGAGAATTAACCATAGATAAACAAGAAGTTGACGAGCTATAAGTAGAATAGTTGACTAAATGATATAATATGAATAAATATAAATATAAGAATTAATATAAATATAAGAATTAATATAAAAAAAATAATCTAACATCTCAATTTAGATAAATAAATATTCGTTACAAAAGATAAAATTACTTGAATAATAATAATAATAAATAAGATTGTAATTAAAATTACTTAATTAAATTTTACATTTACAACTTTAATTAGAACATTGTATAAAATTCTTTTCTGATTTTTTGATCATTTTACTAATATTTTTAATTAAAATATTATATTAAAATCTTTTTAGATATTATTTTAATTACAACATTGAATAAAATTCTTTACTTATATTTTGATAATTTAACTGAAAGTTTCAATTAAAACATTGTATAAAATTTTTTACTTATTTTTAGATAATTTTATTAAAAATTTTAATTAAAACATTTTATAGAATTACTTACTTATTATTTGATCATATTACTGATAATTTTAATTATATCATTATATAAACTTTTTTACTTATTTTAGAAAATTCTACTAAAAATTTTAATTAAAACATTGTATGAAATTCTTCATTGATTTTTTGTGCGCAAATCACTATTTTAATTTTTTCATATTTATTCATTTCAATTTATTCACAATGATATAACATATAATTCAAATGATTTATAATGAACAATAGTAAAACTACTTATTGAATTAAAATTTAAATTTATAAAAAAAATTATCAAAAATTGCTAGAATTTAAAACAAAATTACAAAATAAGTTTTTATACCAATTCTACAATAAATCTTGATATTTAATAAATTAACAAATTTTTATAAATATCGATAGATTGATTGAATTAATCAATTAGAATTAATAATTTCAATGATAAAAATTGCACAAGTGAGCACGTGCATTCGACATGTGTAATGACGCACGAACGAGAAGTTCGATTTTTATTAAAATTATAAAATAATAGATAGAAAATGTGTTTGAATGGGTTTTAAAAAATGCTTAGTTTTGACTATCTGCACGTTATAAAATGGACATATTTGTAAAAATGTGCAAATCATATTTGTACATAATGTAGAAGAGTGTAAGTATATGTAATATGTGTAAAAAAGTGTAATTTTATGAGAATGTGTATAATTATGCACAAATGTCATGTGCATTTTGTATAAATGTATACATATAAAAGCGTACAAATATTCATAAGTATGTGCAAATGTTCATAGATATGTAATAAAACGTCTATAATTTTATATGAATATGAACAAATGTTTACATATGTGTATAATTTTGTGTAAATGTGTGCAAATGTGTATAAAAACAAATGTTTATAGATAGGTATGAATGTGTAAAATTTTATAAAATTTAAATGTGTACAATAAATTATAATTTTATGTACAACGGTATAAGTGTACAAAAGTATATAAATGTGCAGAAATGTTTACAAATGTACATTACTTGTATAAATTTGTACAAATGTGTATAAAAGTGCACAAATGTTCATAAAAAAGTACAAAAGTATACAAATGTGTAAAAGTACAAATTTTATATGAAAGTATATGAAAAGTACAAATATTAATAATTTGATATAAATGTAAACAAACTTATATGAAATGGCACAAATGTGAATGAATTCGTAGAAATGTTTACAAATGTGTAAAATATTGTATAAATATGTATAAATGGGTATAAAAGTGTATAAATACGTATAAAAGTACATTGTGTATAATTTTGTATATATGTGTATAATAAATTAGTATAAAATTATTATAATTAAATTAGTATAAAAGTGTACAAATGTTTATTGCTTTTAATTTTATGTGAATGTGTATAAATGAGCTGTACAAAATGTTTATATGTATGAACAATGTTCATATGATCATTGATCATATATGTATAATTTTATTTAAATGTGTATAAAAGGCTATAAATGTATATAATTTTATATAACTGTATACAAACTTTTATAAAAATATACAAATATGAATAAATGCGCATAAATTTGTACAGATATTTATAATATTTTATAAATTTGTATAAAAGTGCACAAATGTTCGTAGATATTATAAACGTGCATAATTTTATATAAATTTCTATAACAGGGTACAAGTCTGTATAAATTCGCAGAAATGTGCAAATTTTTTTATCTAACTGTGTTTTATTCAGCAATCAGAAATACATAAAGATTCCTATAAGCTAAATAATGTACACAAATGTGTATAATTTTGTGTAAACGTGTACAAGTGTTCAGAGGTATGTACAAATTAGTATAATTTCATATAAATGTATACATACTTGTATAAAATTATACAATTCTGAATAAATTTTGTATACATCGGTGTAAAATGGTACAAAAGATTATAAAGGTACACAAATGTGCAACGGGATATAAAAATGTGTATAATTTTATATACATTTCTATAACAGAGTATAAGTGTTCAAATACGCAGTAATGTTTACAAGTGCATATAATTTTCTGTACAAATATGTATAAATGTGAATACATATGTATAAATGTGGTTAATCGTATATAAAAGTACATAATGTGCATAAATGAGTACAAATGTGTATAATTTTATAAAAATAAATATAAATATGTATAAGCGCATACAAATGCGCATAAATAAGTAAAATTATATATAATTTTCAAGAACGTGTATAAATGTGTTTTAATTTGTATGAATGTGTAAAAATATATAAGTATGTAAGGAAGGGTTTAAATTTTTAAAATGTGTACATATAAAAAAACTAAAATGTATTAAGCGTATATAAAAATGTATAAATGTTTATAAGTGTATACACAACTATGTAAATATGTATATAAATTTGTATAAGCGTCCACGGGAAAACGGCCCCCCACCAATATTTCAAAAGCAAGTAAACTTTGGATTTGTTTAACAACAATATTTGAAAGTAGGGTACAAAAGATATGTAATCACTAATCAGCCTTGATGCAAGCAAAACCGTTATCGGGAGATAAACGGCCATGTTTAAAAATCTTTAACAAAAGTATTTTCTTTTGTTCTTAGTTTTTTTGGTTATGAACACTGTTGCTTAGTTTACGAGATAATATTCAAGTATACGTTATTTAATTGTTTTATAAGATTTATTGTTATTTTTAAATTAAATTCGACAGATTTCTTTAAATAACCTCTACGAAAACTTGCATATGGGTGGGTTAAAAAGGACCAACTAAAACTTTATTCTGCCAAAGGCGTAAACAAGAAGAAAATAGTTATCTTAAGCTTGAATTGGGCTAAAAAACAATTTTA